TTATTATTTCCCAGTAAGTCAAAATGGGCAGTGTGTGTTATATTAAGAGATTTATCAATTAGAATTACCGTATCATTTACATTTTTATTATTCAAGCTTCAAAAATAAGAATTTACTTTACTACGTACTGTATAATCCTAGGGAAATTTAGACAATTTCCTTTCTATTTTCAATTTTTAACTTATCTCCTTTGGGGATCAGCGGTAACTATAGCTGTTGAAACAAAGTTAGGTAAAAAATCCAAACTCTAGTATTTACTCGTTATTTTGAAACTGGATTACTATAATCATAATTTTATTATCCTACAACCTTCAGGTGCACGCTGTATGTCGATAACAAGGGTCACCTCATCAACATACCTTCTTGCTGCTTTAAAATGCGTCTAATCCCTAAGTAATGCACTTTCCCCTAATAAATCAAAAGCATATTGACGAAAGAGGATGTTGGGTTGCCTAAATTTACAAAGAATGTGCTATATAAGTTTTGCTTTCATCAACAATCACCAAAAAATGGATAGTTTAACAAATAAATAAAATTTACTCCCAGGTAGGCAATAATATTCTCTACATTGTCAAATTCGATGTCAGAACACATTACATTCTTCGCACTCACATCAATAAAAAACGTTTCTTGCATGTCTTTGGTATAAACAATTCTCAAGTTATTGACATTAAAATTTTTATTTAATTTCACAGAAAATTGACTTTGGATTGAAAGATTATACAATCATACAGTTTCTGTTAGTTTAATCCTGATGTCATACTTTAGTATTGGTAATTTATTTCCTTTGTTGGATTTCTAATAAAACTGCGATGGTTACTGCTGCGTGAAAAGACAAGAATTTTTTAATGAGAAAAACAACTAAGTACATAATAATAAATTTGTTAAAATTTTAATTGCCGCGATCGTGCCAACCCTATTAGCGAATGTGCATTTTGTTTTAAACTAATGTTTGCTCGTTGTCAGAAGTAACATCTTGCATAAAACGTAACATAAGGGCTAAAACAAAAAATTTTGACTCGTTGTTTGTTGCACAGTTGCATCTATTTTGTGAATTTTTATAAAACGTTTTTAACAGGTAAACGCTCATCTGTTCATACTTCAGGTACCACTATTACTTGTAAAAAAAAAATTGGTGTATAATCATATGATACTTTCATATTTCGAGTATTTCAGATTTTATATTTTTAAATTTTTCAAATTTCAAGATGCCATAAATACAAAAAAAAGCGACAGCGTGCGGAAAAACGAGTATTACCAGTGTAAAAAATACATTATTATCAAAATCAGAACTGAAACAAGTTTATCTCTACCGATGAAACTGATAAAATCACAAAACTTTCGTCGTGACAAAGTGGACACCGCAAACCGCTCTTGCGAAATTTTGGTCCGTACTAGGATATAAGATAAAGCAATCATCAGAGACAATCTCTTTGCAATGATGTAACTTGAAGTATATCCATTCTGGGAACAATGTCTCCTAACAATGCCAACTAAAGAGACATCGCTGTCGCTTTTGTCTCATTCAAAGTGTTTGTTACGAATAAAAGAACAGTTTGAACTCGAAATCTATAGCAAAATATAAGCGCTTTGCCAACCGTTTCTCTTCTATATTGATGTTTTCCGAATCGTGCTATTGTGGAGGAGTGGGCATTTCATTCACCCAGGTGGTATTTTTGCCTTTTTTTTGATGAATTTAATCGAATCAGCAGGCTAGGCATGAAGACACGCAATGAATATGAAAACACTTGAACATCCAGAGTGCCGTGAAACAGCAGCTGTTGACTGTCACTTGTCGATCAGGGCCTTCCTAGATGATATGAATAATAAAAATGAATAATGCAAAGGCCTCCCCACTACACCGATACAATGTGTTATGATATGCTCTTATATTGCCATTTAGGGTGGAAAATGTATTTAAAGTGTGACGTTTACAGGATACATATGTGGAGGAGCCCTTTCATATGCTAAGCGACGTTTTTATAAAGTTTTAAAATTCATATCGTATTTATTAGGTTCATAGCGAGCGTCCGATTCAATAACCCCTTTTATACGAACACGACCGGACAGCTTTATTATTATTCCTTCTTAACTAAACATTTTGATTTCAACATAAAGCGAACCAACAATAACACAATTAATATTTCGTTATGATTACAAAGAAAACATCGTCAATATTTAATCAGGCGCATTTCTAGATGGGCGACAAAATATAATAACGAGGGAAACCCATGCAATTTTTGGTGTAGGTACGTTGAACGACACAGCCAAATGTGGATGTGGTTTATAAATATTATTATAAATAAATATCTGTAGAACGGGATATAAGTAAGAGTTCTAATTATTTAGAGGACACAATTATATTTCCACCAACATCCACAGTTATATGCACAATTACGAGTACATGTCCCGTATGTCCGTATAACTGACAGATCAAGGTTTCTGGGCGATAAGTCCATTCAAATTAATCATTCGTAATTAATATTATTAAGTATAATTTATTATAAGCGGCTGTTCGTTAATAAATTTGAGGATGTACGGTATTTGTATGCACAATCTGATTTAAGAAAATAAGTGAGTGTATTGTAGTCTTCGGAAAATTTTTTAATGAATTTTAACAATTAAGTTAATTCCATTTTAATTTTCTAAGCTTTTTTTTAAATTTTGAAATTATTTTTAAAACGAAACATTGGAGTCTAATCATCCGACAGTTATACGAATGTATTAATATCTACACTTGTAAGGTAGAAAGCGTCATCCACAATTTTATAAGAATATTTTAATTTTCTTTTTTGGTTTGTACCAATTATCATTTTTGCTGTAGTTGGCAGCCGAACAATACGACATGTCTGATATTTCTTCCTTAATTCTATTATGTTTTTTATTATCAAATTTTAAGAACAATAAAGCTAATAATATGTAATAATATTTTGAAACTGTTACGATAACTTGTAATATTCTTCAGAATAGTGTGTCTCTTTAATAAACTCATACACTCCTTGGCGCAAGGTCGCAGTTATTATGAGGGGTTGGACGGCAGAATAACAGGGTCGGTGCTGATTATAAAATGACCCATGCCGGTTAATCTTTGGCGAAATATAGGGGTCGTAATTGAAAGAACTGCGGTAAAGTGTAAGGAAAAATGTTTATAAAGTAGCAAAATACAAAATATTTTGTTTCTATTTTGGTACACGCATCTACTATTCTAGCAAATCTATTTTTGTGGTACCATGCGAAATAGTCATGCAAAGTTAACCTGAAAAGAATCGTCAAGTGAAAAATCGATCAACAGTTGACAATAATGGCTATAACAGAAATATTTTTAAAATTAAGGGGAGAATCCACAACACTCAGTTACAACTTTTTGACAACTGCCAAAAATGGATTTCAATTCATTACTTTTATGAGCAGCAGCTAAAAGCAGCAGTGTAATGAAGTTATTCTGATGAATATGTATTTAATTGAACGTTTTTCTGATGTTGGGTGGCTAGTAGACCACGAAAATGCAAATTTGAGTAGAGAGAAGTATTACAAGATCATGATGGAAATGTTGATACATTTGTGTTACTAGAGTTTTTATGAGTTCTTGACTTAGCAATTAAATTAAATATATTTAAACTAAACTAAAGTTAGCAGAATTATTAGTCCGACTAATTTTGGTGGTACAAGACATCGAGATGAAATTTTAACTACATTTTGAAATCAGCTCTAAGAAGATGAGTTAAGTTTATGAATACTCTCAGCAGGATGGGGCTACTGCTCATACAACTAGAGCTATAATAAGTTTTTTGGCTGAATTGATTGGCTCAAATGATTCGGAATAATTATTGTGGAATAAGGTAACATACAAAGTTAATGCAATTAATAACAATGTAGATGTTTAGAAAATGTGTCCAATGCAGTAAGAATAAAAACTAAATTACTGTTCCTACAGAAAATTTTGATAAAGTGACGTATTCTTGTGTTTTCTTTTACATTCAGAAGAAACAAAAATTTGTCGTGGAAACTGCTGCAATGAAGAGATTCTTTTAATAACCATTATATTTTTGATTAGTTCCATTTATTTTTTTTTATTTCAAAAGTAATTTGTCAACTCAAAACACTTGCCACTTGCTTTTTTAAAAATAAATTAATTTTGAAGCAGTGCTACCTAACCAAATTTTCCAAAGGCTTAAAGCAGCTTATTAATTTGTAAATGTACCTAATAATATTGTAATTATTTATTCATTTTATTTCAGTAATTTAGGTTAAGCAGATTTACACTAAAATGAAAAAAATGTTTTCTAACCTAAAATTATTTTGTTATTAAATGTCATTTTCAATAACCGTCAGTTTTTGACGTGACTCTTTCTACACTTTAAAAAGGCAGTAAATATTTAAATTTTCACAGTCTGTTTCAAAAAATTTTTTTATTGTGTTCCCGTTACGTTGGACTTTCTATTTCCCAGAATATACTAGAGAAATATTGCAATGCATATCCGTCTTCCATTTCCGTCTGTCCGTCTGTGTTCATTTTAACTGATACGTAATTTTCGAAATTACTGTACTGATCACTGTGAAACCTTGGGTGTGCTTTAAAATTATGACGAAAAAATATTTTTGCAACTCTGTGTTCTCGATTTTTACAGATTTAAAAAAATATTGTTAATATAGTTACAAACATTAAAACATAATAACTACAATGGTAATATATTTCAACCATTTTTAAGTTGAACCTGTTGCACGTTTTTTGCGTCTGTATTCCAGATTTAATAAAATATGTTAATACAATCGAACAATAAATAATAAATTGCGGACATTTTAATGCAGTTTCGATTTGTTTCAATTTTAATGTACATGAACTCAAACCACAAAATTTAAACAAATTATTAACAAATATATGCATGTATATTCATAACAGAGCCACACACAAATTAATAATAAGTATTTAGTATAAATAACCGCATTTCCACATATTAATAAAAGGATGATGGTTTCCCCATCGAATGATAATCCCTTACCTAATCTTTTAGAGATTTCCGAGTTGTGCATTTTGGGATTCTCTTGAGCAATTTTTCGCCTTTGTAACCGCGACCAAACCATGAAGGCGTTCATTGGGCGTTTGATGTGATCCTCTTGTTTTTTCGTTGCTTGTGGATTCTGCAGACCTTGAGGGACGCCCAAGGTGGCGCCCCCTAGGGAGGCCATCCTCGAGAGTCCCTCCGCGGCACTGAAGCCGCCTTCGCACATTTGGCCCACAGATCTGGAAAATAAAAATTTTGTTTTATATACGAGCTGAATGGATGTGGTACGTAATGGATATTTTTCTATTGTGGTATAATAGACATCTATGACTATAAAAGCCGCTGCAGTAGTGGAATGTGCCACGCCTGTGCCGCTGAATAACTCAATTTCTAGGATCGATTTATCTAATAGTTCTAGTTAGTTTTTTAATTTCCTGTACTATGTTTTTAGAAGAATAAATACTGAGATGATTTAGGAAGTTATTACTAGCATCTGGTCTATAATACGAGTGAAATATAAAATTTATATTCCATAATTGACGATAGCCTAGATTGTTATTCTAGTGTTAAATAAATTGTGCTAGACATTGTTGGCAGACTTCCTAAATGGTTAACGATATTTAATATTTTGAAAGTATTCATTTATTAGTGATATTATGCAACAAAAGAGGCATATTAAAGTTATTGAGATGAATTTTCTTACTTTTTGCGTCATATCTTAGTTTGAATGGATATTTAATTGAGGAATGGGTTAAATTATCACACCTGATTATTATTAGATAGTTTGTAATGCCGATAAGTTTCTAACCTGGTTTTTTCCATTTCACAATTTTGCAAAAATTAGTTCGCATTAAATTATATTATAGAAACGTATCGTTGTAGTTAGGATTTCAGCATTTTTTTCGGAGTTTCAGATGGGAGATTTCAACCATCCATATCAGGCCTGCAGGCGTGAAAACATGGAAATCGTTTTCGGAATTTGACACGGTTTAAACTAACTTGAATGTGTCCGGGAAACCTAGAATGCTCAGAATGAGCGACTACTTGAATTACCGAAATTGATTGAGAAGACTGATTTCTATTATATCTTATTTGGAGCGTTTTCTCTACATACTAACAATTTTCTAAAATTTGGCCATTGGTAATTCAACAACACCAAAACTCAAGATCAATAGTTGACAAAAAAACTAATTTTTAGCTCGAATTTCTGCGGAATATGGTTAACAAAATGCAAAGAAGAGACTCATTAACCAATTTTTCTGCCCTCAAGTACTCGTTGCTATGCAATCAGTATGCTGCGTAAATTCTTCATTACACGCAGCAGTGTGACATAAAATTGTACAACTGATAAAACATGATATCAAACGTTTTATAATAAATTTCGAGCTGGTAAGTTCATTTTCGGAAAAATATTTATGGCCTACTTCCGTAGAATGAAAGATTGATTCAAATCATCTTCTTTTGCGGACAATTTACTCCCAGTTTAGAAGCATGTTAAACACTAAGCACAATATTAACACTGCAAATTATCCAAATTTACGAATTTGCGTCACTTAACTAATGGGTACTTATTGAAATAGTAGCTGCTTTTATGTTGTTTAAGCTGCAACTAATTATGTTATGTTCCTTCTGAGAAAATGCTAGGTGTTCATAAAACACATAAACACAGTACACGATTTGACCGGTAAATTTTTACTTAGGTACACACGCGTTTTACCAATAATACCACCCGTTGCAAATTTTGCCTTCCTTAATTTATAACCTGACATTATTTAGAAAAATTTATTTTTGTATCGCAGTTATAAAAAAAAAATCGTGTCAGTATCTGTTTGTCAAAATATAGCATATTATTAGCCAAGGTTGCAGAGCCAAGCATTCTAGACCGAGCGCAAATTAGAACCCGAGACGCGCAGCGTCGAGGGCTCTAAGTGCGAGGTCTAGAAGTGGCTTTGCAACCGTGGTTAATATACTATTTTTTTCACTAGCAGAAACCATAAGACAATAAACTGAAAAATAAACGTTCAATTTTTTGACGCAACGTGATTTTGTTTTGATTTCTAATCAAACTTGATCTAAATCTTCAACACAAAGAAAACCGTTTATACTTGTCGCTGAGTTAATCATTTTATCTTCTACCGTCTACCAACCAACTACCATGCGTATACTCAAGTAATGTTTGTAGCACACATTTGTTCATTTTTTAAGAAATAATCACATCAAACATTGCGTACATAACCTCAATTTTTCTTTTTGAACCCGTGGTAGCAAAAGTTGAATTTGCTACCACTAAATGAGTCGACATTTGCATGCGTCCAGGCTGCTAGTGAAAAAAAGTCTTTTTTACAGGATGAATAACTTTTTGAGGCTACATTCATAATAAGCAGTTTTGAGTACAAAAATATTAAACACTTGGCGATGAATATAGTTGTGTTTTAAACCGGTTGGTAAGGTGAAACAATAATTAAGGAAACAGTAAAGTAATAAATTAATAAAAATTAGGTAAGGGGAATACGTAAGATTTATGGGAAATGGAAAGGGGACAAGTGGTAAGACGACTAATGGGCAAATTATGGTAAATTGCATTTGAGCAAACAGAATACACACACGATACAAGAGGTTTTTCTTTCGGTTGCCTTTCTGACTGCTGGAATAATGTTAATTTTATACTAGATCGTACAAAACAGTTATATAAGGAAAACGCCAAGTTTGTATGCAACTTTCCCCTCAGAATAATTTGTTTCTAATTTGAGATTTTTCTATTCTGGAAAATAGAGTATGTGTTTTTTTTTCTCGATTTTACTTGAAAATGTGGTCATTTTCCTTTGAAAAATACAGATTTAGATAGATTTACTTCTTCGTTTAAGTTGTACCTCCAACATTCAATTGTTTTCAACAATACTGACAATTTATGACAGTACAGGGTTGGACTTTCACTAATACGCCACTCCACTATTAAATATTGCAACTGAATTAGGTCAAGATTCCAGTGATGAAGATTTATAATTTTATATTTTAATTTATATTGTAGTTCCTTTTTTCGTTCGTCAGTTTTGAACCTGAAAGTCTCGGTAGTTACTAATAAATAAGAAAATTTCGACTCAAACTATGCATGAAGCACAAATAAAGCGGACAGTATATTTTAGAACACCTGTAATCCCCTAGTTTGGAATTTGAAATTTTTAAAATACATTCGTATATAATCTGTATTCAAAAATGTTTAATGTTAAGACTATTCCACTTCCAAATTTCATATTTTTTATGTATGTTAAGTGTGCAATATTTTTCTGAATTTTTGGATATTCGGGGCAACTTGTAGGTATATTCAATATAGGTTTTTATACTTCGAGAAAACGCGTTCTTTCAATTTTTAAATTTAACGTAAAAATGTAATTCTTAACTTAGTATTCGAAAAGCACAGGGTTTTTCCTACTTGGCAAGTAAAAACCAATGAAAATTAACCACATAAAACAATAAATAAGTAGGTACGTTAAATCTTTAGTAGAAAGTACTCTATAAAAAGTCAAGCACTCCTTTTTTGGTAGCGCTGAAAATACAAAAATTCTCTAGCTTCAAAGTCTGTTCATAACTTTTTATTATTAATGTTACGCCCAACATTATTAATAAAGATTACAGATAATTGTATTAACTACAAAAACGCTCTCAGTTTTTTTTTTCAGATGTACTAGCCAAAATGCAGGATTAAGTTACAATAAAACAAAGAAATTATAATTTGTTAATACTTCAAATAGTATTAAAACGTCTTTGGCACTCTTGAATGTTTATTTAACTCGGCTAACATGTTGCCAAAAAAACTTCATTCTTATGCGACGAAGTACCATTTCGCTCATTAGTTGCACCAGCAACTATTTTCGTCGAACTTATATCGATTTGCACATTTGAAATTTGCATAAATTAAAATATTAAGGAGCGTTCGATTAGTAAAGCTCAGTAATTAAGGTGCATAATTAAGCAGAGCATATAAAAAAAACTTTTAAAGAAAGCGTTTCGGCTTTGGTTACAAGAAAGGATTGAGGGAAATTTTTCGCTAAATCGAAAATCGTGTGACAATGGCCTCCAACATTTGCTAGGTACCGATCTTAAACAATAGCCAAAAAAATGCGACTCCTTTTTCATATTTTTACTTCCCGAGCATAAGCTAAGCAAGTGCAGCAATCAAGTCCATCGGGCGACTTGCCAGTTTAATGTTTTCTCGACGTTTCATGACACCTAGTGTACGAAAAAGAAATGGTCGCCCTTTCCAGTCTGTCTGTCATTTGTCTGTCTGAAACTACTGTACCGATTGTTGTCAAATCATACCTGATTTGAACACGACCAATTTTAAAAACTAAAGTAATACATTTTTCAAAATACTGAAGGAAAAATTTAAATATTTGTTATACCTAGTTTTCAACTATTTCGGTGCTTCATCAGTTATTACTTCTTTCCTAATATAGTTTTCCTATTAAACAAGTATCTGATTATCTCTTCTAAAAATTTTGAGTCAATTTTCGTCATTTAGTTATTTCTTTGGGAATATTTGAACACGCTTTTTATACTTATTTTCTTTGTTATTCTTTCCATTTTAAGCTATTTTAGTGCGTAACATATGTTAATGTCGTTCCATTTGTTTATTAATTTACTTTAAAAGAACACAATTTAGTTTTATGTAAACTACAGTAAAAAACATGTAGATATGCAACAACAACCAATGAATATTTTTCTCATTAATTCTTTATCACGGGTGCCGCTCTACACTCCTCAAGTGATTATATTTTAAACATGCTGGCAGTTCTGATTTATATTTGAATAGGCGGTATAGATATACACGAGCATTTACTAACCAATGAATTGTAAGCAAACATTTGAAAGTTTTAATACGAAAAAGTATTAAGTTGCCCCTAATTCAGATATAATAGAGTGGGTATAAATGTTTAGATATTGATTTTTCTTATCTGATTCATTCTCAAATTGAGTCGACGATATTTTCTAATAATTTCTCTTCAAGTTCTCCCACACGTATCTAAATAAGTCCCGTGCAAACAAAAAAGGGATAAACAAGCCTTACAAAGTAAATAAAATATTTGAAAAAGTCAAACATAAAAGCAATCGTAATAATAATATTCAAGACTTGGTGTGCCTTTTGTGGATATCTTTATGAATATGGAATGATCTCGGTCTGATGCTGCATTATTCAAAAGATAAACGTTTAATTTAACACGGCGACTATTTAAAACCAATT